AGGAATGAGCCGATATGGCACGAATTGAAAACGGCTCCAGGCGTCAGTCGTCAGACGTCGAACTCGCGAGTTTTGCATGAATGACGTGGTATTTAATAATTCGTCGGGTGATTTTTCTGACAGAAAAGTGTGGGGTAGAGAACACTGTAAGGATGATGTGGATAACAATAAGGAAAGAGGGAGGCATGAGCGTGGCTAGTGACGACACAACGGTGAGTTCCCTTTTGAATCAGTACTGAATAAATGTAGGGGTGAAAGTGGCTTGTCTGAATGTCCCAGGACAGTTTCCAGTAGCCAAAATATTCGAAACAAAACCATTTCATCCTTTTCACTCGACGTTTTTGTGTGATGACTATTAGGAGCCGCTAAAGAATCTATAATAGCCACTAACATGATCGTAAAGGGGTGATTGATCGTAAAGGGGATCCAAGGGCTAAGGACAGTGTTCAGCGCCAATATAATATCCCTAATAAACTGCATTCTTGTGCGTAAAAATAATATATGTATACTCATCAACAAAAGTTCCTGTGACAGCAATATTTTAGTGTATTTTTCAAACAAGTAAAGTTTGGTTTTCAATATTGTAGTACATATATGGAATCAAGTCACAAAAACGCAACTGCTATAGAAAAACATGCATTCCATGCAAAAGTTGACTTATATGCAAGCCCCATGCATTTCACTACCCAAGAATGGATAGAAAAACATGTGCGTTAAGGGGATTCAATATGCATTGTTAAGCATCGTGCTAACAACAACCACTCAGAAAAACAACAAAATTACGCAATTATTCAACATTACGGAATGCCACGCCTGTCCGAAAATAAGCGTCTGCGAGCCATTGGTATGCTTGAAGAAGGATCGAGTCAACGTGATGTTGCAAGACAATTTAACGTCCACAGAAACACCATTTGGTGTTTATGGCAACGTTGGCAACAGACGAATGCAGTCAGAGACCATCCTCGGAGTGGCAGGCCACGCGTAACCAATAATCGACAAGACAACTGGATTCGAACAACACACCTACGAAATCGATTCCAGCCAGCAACAGTGACTGCAAGAAGCATCCCTGGCCTTCGACGAATATCTTCACAAACCGTACGTCGCCGCCTTAGATGTGCAGGGATTGTCGCCAGAAGACCCGCTAGACGTCCCATTTTGACAGGAAACCACCGTCAAGCACGTCTACAGTGGTGCAGACAGCGTCTACGCTGGACGGCCATGCAGTGGGGACAAGTTCTATTCACTGACGTGTCTCGTTTTCACCTCAGCCACAGCGATGGACGAATTCGAGTGTACCGACGTCGAGGTGAACGTCACGTCAGTCATTGTGTCATGGAAGAAGATCGGTTCGGGGGCGGCAGCGTTATGGTATGGGCAGGGATTACAGCAAGACAGAGGACCCGTTTGATAGTGGTAGAGGGAAATCTCAATGGACAGCGCTACCGCGACGAGATCATCGGCCCTGTTGTTCTACCGGTTTTGCGTCGTCATGGCCCAGGCATTACCTTTCAACATGACAACGCCCGGCCTCATATATATTGCTCGACTTGTTAAGGATTCTCTTCAACAAAACAAGGTGAATGTCATCCCCTGGCCGGCTCGTTCCCTGATCTCTCACCAATCGAGCACATGTGGGATGAGATGGATCGGCGCCTTCGACGTCAACCACGTGTTCCACAGACACTCCAGGAACTTCGAAACATGCTCCAGCAGATATGGACAGATATCCATTCCATGAGACGAAGATGTGTTGCTTGCATCGCAACCAGAGGTGGACACACACGCTATTCATTTGGAAATTGACATTTTGGCAACTCACGCATTTTCTCTAGTCAGTATTGCAAATTAAACCATTTGAACACTTACAGGAGTCTTTATCTGTTGCAAACCGAAATTGTTTCTGATTTGGTAAAAAACATAACTTTGCATTAAATCTTATTCAATGTCACAGGAACTTTTGTTGTTAAGTATATATTAGTTCCCATTATAACCATTTTAGTCACTTGAATTACGAGAAAAACGAAATAAAAATATATAAAAATTAAAAGTGCTTTCGTTAACTAGCGCTTGCTATAAAATGCGCCACCACAGGCTATATTTAGTAAACAAATATTCAAAACTCTCAACGTCGCTGGGCGTATATAATGACATTGCGTGTAGAGATAATTGATCACTGGGAGGAGCTTATGTACACTCGACGACCCCTGACGTCACTGGGCATTGTTTCGCCGGTGCGAATGACTAGAAAAACTACACATTACGTCATAGGGTATTGCCATGTGTTTGAAACGTTTGTGGTACTGTATTCTAAAGGTAAGCCTTTTTTACTTCCTTGTTGGTATGTACCCATGAAAACAGCAATGTTGAAATTTGGATACACTTTTGTCCGAGACTGGCCACAGCATGGAGCGTTTCTGGACAAATGGGTTTCCAGAATTAAAATAATGTTATGAACCTATATAATATATTTCATCTTTGGATTAACAATATAGTGCTTATTGAATATAGTTCAAGTTATTACTTTGTTATAATGTGGAACATTGTTGTTTTCGCTGCAGCCAGGGGGGAAAGGAGACAACAGCATTCCAGAAGATACACACGGAAATGTTAGGTATATTGGGGAATACACCAAATATACCAGGGGCTGTGAATGATGTGCAGAAACTGTTGTTAAATACCATGAGCTACTAGATCAAGTATCTTTTGATGGTTTTGTGGCCTTTTAAATTAATGCTAAGAATTGGATTTGTATCTGTATTGAGACACTCACCGTTAAGTGGGTTGGGTGTTCCTGATAGTTACCACAAGAATTTATCTGTCTCTGAATGAATATTAAAATATGTTTCCACCAACACCTACAAATATATTGTTGTTAGAATACTGATAAAACGTTATCTTAAATGGAATATTGTCTTTTCAGTTGGATGTATATATATATAATATGTATGTATGTATGTATGTATGTATGTATGTATGTATGTATATATATAATTGTCAGAATCTTCTTTGGATTTGCCTTGATCCACTTTTCTGAAACATTAAACATCTGAACAAATCTAAAGCAGGTATTTAATATGTATAAGCAGGTATTTGATTCTGACAATCAATAATTTAGAAAGGTGTAAAAGTTTTCTAAAAATATTAGAATCGTCCGCCGGTCCATACCGCCTCTAAAACAATACTAATAGCAAAGAACAAAAGCAGCTGGAATATTGCTGAGTGCGGCGTTAAGCAAGAAACAAAATAAGTTTTGTTTGAAAATGAGACACAAGGTAGAGGGATTGGCCTTAGCTATAGGTCTCGAGTCAAGGAGCAGGGAGAAGTGTTGTACCTGTCATAGGGGGTCATTAAGTTGTTGTGACAGCGCCTGCGCGGAGACCGAGATGCACCCATGTTCAACAAGAACAGTCGTGAGTTGCACGGGTATCACGTTTTACGTGTGCAGAGAAATTGAAAAAAAGATATAAAAAATGTGCTGGTGTGACGGACAGTGATTGTGTTTGTTGTTTGTTTGTGTGTTTGTTTGTCGTTTAACGCCGCCTTCAGCAACAGAGATGCTTAACCATTAGGTAAAAGATGAAGGGACAAGAAGTCGCTCTCAAACGCAGTTACAAAGAATAAAAAAAGCTTTTAGAAAGTGTCATGTATTCAAGAATAAGTCATTTATCGAATTGGGATCTATTTTGTCATGATATATCCACAGGTCCTCAAACTTCGTTATGTGAAACTTTTCAGTTGTACACACTGACAAAAGCAAGGGGTCTAGCCTTTGAATATAAATGTCTTTTCTTTTCCCAAAGATAAAATTGCGAAAAGAAAGTCTGCAACTACTCAGATATTTTAAATACCTACATGTGTTGGCTGATCATTTCCATTCGAACAGTTAATAAAGTACTAAATTTCATAGTAATCACACGTCACTTTTCATATTACATGTTTGTCAGCTGATGGAATATTATATTCAAACCAATCGTACCTCACTATTAATGACAGTTGATAAAATATTCAATTAAAATTAATCGAACCTCACTGCTATTCATATCAGCTGATAAAATATTCAATTTCAACCAATCGTACCTCACTATTCATATCAGCTGATAACATATTCAATTAAAACGAATCGTACCTCACTATTCATATCAGTTGATAAAATATTCAATTAAAACCAATCGTACCTCACTATTCATATCAGCGATAAAATATTATATTCAAACCAATCGTACCTCACTATTCATATCAGTTGATAAAATATTCAATTTAAACCAATCGTACCTCACTATTCATATCAGGTGATAAAATATTTTATTCAAACCAATCGTACCTCACTGCTATTTGTATCAGCTGATAAAATATTCAACTTAAACCAATCGTACCTCACTATTCATATCAGTTGATAAAATATTCAATCAAAACCAAGCGTACCTCACTATTCATATCAGTTGATAAAATATTCAGTTTAAACGAATCGTACCTCACTATTGATATCCGTTGATAAAATATTTCAATTAAAACCAATCGTACCTCACTATTGATTGGTAAAATCTATAATGTATGTCAGATGATGATTTATGACTGTCTGCTCATCGAAAACTCCTTTTCGAGTTGAATACTTTTTCAGCAAAGTATGTTTAGCTTCAGGTTAAAAAAAGAACTGATAATGATGTTAATGATTCATTACAACTACTTCCTTCACTGGCCTTCTTTTAGCGTCCAAAACATTTATATCCGTTCTGGATTGTCAAATAAATGATTAATCATTGTCGGAAATAGACACCATCCCACGCCCACGCGCTGTCTTGCGCCCATGTCATCTCTTACCAACCTGTACACGTGAATTGCATCAGTATTGACGAGAGCTGTCAAACTTGATTGATTGACAGCTGATGACGTTGTCACCCTCCCGCCTTCGAAAGTATAAATTACTTTCAACACCCTTGACCAGGAACACTTTTTAACGTCAACACAGAAACAGCGTTAGTTTTGGCCATATTTGATAATCATGAAGTAGTTCATATTTTTAAAACGGAAAATTATCAATATCTTAACTTAGTTTGATAAGAAAGTATTTGTGTCGTTACATAAGTTTATTTTAAGAAATTTCCGATAAACATTCAACAAGACATGTTTATGATATTCGTGTTAGTAAGTTTCATAGACGTATCCAATGGAAACGGACTACTAAAGGACCCCCCAATGAGATCCACTCTTTGGAGGATGGGCTACGACGCACCCATCAACTACAACGACCACACCCTCAACTGTGGGGGGTTCTATGTAAGTACAATTATGTTCGCTATTTCGCTATTCAAACAAACAAACAAACAAACAAATAAGCAAACAAAAGTGCAAAACTGTTTCAGACAGTCTCAAGAAGTACATTTTTTCATTGAAAGAAGGAATCAAACAATTGTTCAGGGGACACCCGTCATACCATCTTTCTAAGCATTAAGCATGGCCAGATTTTAATTTGTTTCCAGCATTTTTCCAAACAGATTATTTTTCCAGCTTCCCCTTTCCAATTAAGAATATTAGGTGAGGTGGCGAGGTGAAATGGGGTTTAACTTCGCGCCTAAGATTATTGCACTTAATAGAGCGACGAGTATGCACGTTTGTGTGTGTGTGTGTGTGTGTGTGTGTGTGTGTGTGTGTGTGTGTGTGTGTGTGTGTGTGTGTGTGTGGCTGCTTGCACTAGATTGTATGGTGATACCATGCGGCAGTTCAACATAAATACCCCACTCAGACACAGTATACTGACTCCGAGCCGACCTGCCCTTGTTTAAGCCCTTTGATGCCGACTGAGTGAGTATGGTTTAACGCCGCTTTTAGCCATATTCCAGCAATATCACGGCGGGGGACACCAGAAATGGGCTTCACACATTGTACCCACGTCGGGAATCGAACCCGGGTCTTCGGCGTGACGAGCGAACGCTTTAACCACTAGGCTACCCGACCGCCCCATTGATGCCGAGCGCCAGGCAGAGTAACAACAAGTACCATCTTTTAACGTCCTGTGGTATGACGCCCCCGAATCTTCCGCTCTCCGGGCTCACGCTCTACCACTAGACCACGGAGGCGGTTGTTTAGAACATTAACTGGTAGGCCCCGTAGTGAGTGGGTGAGTGAGTGGTTTAACGCCACTTCGTACCATCAAAGCACGCCAGTATATGGAATCTTAATAGGGTCAACGTTGTGTTGTCGCCTCTGCAAAATCAGGCAAATAGTAACATAATTAACCATAGAGTGACATCGCGAATTGGTCAAAATTTCGCATCGTCGATATGTCCCTTTTGGGATTCAATACAAATACGAAGGCGTCAAGCCTATTTCGTGTCTATCAGAGAAGGTGAAAACTGTGACTTGTGGAATCAAGTACATAAACTCCCTCAAGAGGCGCACAAATCGCATTTCGACTTGGTTTGTTGTTTAACGCCGCACTCAGCACTATTCCAGCTATATGACGGCGGTCTGTAAATAATCGAGTCTGGACCAGACAATCCAGTGATTAATATCATGAGCATCGATCCACGCAATTGGGATCGATGACATGCATCAACCAAGTCAGCGGTTCTGACCACCCGATCCCGTTAGTCGCCTCTTACGACAAGCATAATCGCATTTTACGGTAAGCATGGGTTGCTGAAGACCTATTCTAACCCAGATCTTCACGGGTCGCATTTCGACTTACACTAATGAGACCCTATCAGTCTATTTATACTCAATTTGTATTTCAGAGGCAACATGAATCAAACGACGGGAAGTGTGGCGTTTGCGGTGATCCCTGGGACGGACAACGGGAAAACGAGGCGGGTGGGAAGTTCGCAAAGGAAATAATTGTAACGCGGCACTACACAAGCGGAAGTGATGTAACAATGGTCGTCGAAATGCTTGCTCCACGAGGGGGGTATTTTGAACTTCGGCTGTGCTCTGTAGCAGACTCTACCCTGCCAGTGACACAGGAGTGTCTAAATCAGCACCCCCTGGAGATAGTAAACGGAGTGGGGAGACGGTATCCGGTGGAGGGGGAGAAGGAGGAGCATCATGGGAAATACGAACTGATCGTTCGTCTTCCGGCGGAAGTCACGTGCACACATTGTGTCATACAGTGGAAATACCACGCAGGTAAATAGCCCTTGCGCAACTTCGGCCGGCTAGCTTCCTTCCACATGTGTTAACATTGCTTCTTGTTTCGCTGAAGACGTAAGTAACGTATGTTATATCTGAGATGACACTTTCTCAGTATATGCAAATTCTGGTACTGTTTTGGTTTTGACCACTTTTACTAAGAAAGTGTAACCCCAAACATAACACATGTTACATTTGATTACTTTCTAAACGGCATAAACGGATGGTGTGTGTGTGTGTGTGTGTGTGTGTGTGTGTGTGTGTGTGTGTGTGTGTGTGTTTCTTTCTCTGTTTGTTGTTTAACACCTCACTCAGCAATATTCCAGCTGTATGACGGCGGTCTGTATTTAATCGACAATCCAGTGGTTGATATCATGAGCATCGATCCACGCTATTGGGATTGATGACATGCATCAACCAGGTCAGCGAGCCTGACCACCCGATCCCGTTAGTCGCCTATCACGACAAGCAGAGTCGCCTTTTACGGCAAGCATGGGTTGCTGAAGACATATTCTACGCCGGAATCTTCACGGGTTGTGTGTGCGTGCGTGTGTGCGTGTGTGCGTGTGTGTGTGTGTGTGTGTGTGTGTGTGTGTGTGTGTGTGTGTGTGTGTGTGTGTGTGTGTGTGTGTGTGTGTATGTGTGTGTGTGTGTGTCTGTGTGTGTGTGTGTGTGTTTCAATTTACATTAGCGGGGGTACACAGCGTGATCAAAACCGCCAGTTGTGCAGTGGAGAATAGGTGCCTTACTCTCAGAGTTAGTTCAGATCAGATGGGACTCAACCCCCCAAAAGTGCTGGAATTTGTAATCCTACATGTTACATTTGCCCATTTCCTATAAGGCATTGTCTGTACTGAAGAGGTACGTTTGTTAAATCTCGAAAGCTAAAAAAACACGTCAAATCGAACAAGCATACAGCGAAATCCCTTTAATCCGTCCGGCACAGTTCCCTGGGAATTTCGTCAACACTAACCATAAATATGTTTACTGAGTAAAATCCGTTGCATATATGTGGCCTTTGTTACGTATTGTCTGGCAAATAGCAAATGATCCGCTGCTCCGGAACATACTCTGGTTCAAGTTCATATTATATTATTGTAATGAGTTAGTTCATTTTTTTCTTGTTACGTTGTACATGTTATGTTGATTTATTGTCAGATATATTCCACGATTATTGCAAGATCAAGTATAAACATCGCTCTCAGACACCAAAAACACGTATAAGTCATGTTTTCACAAGTTTTTGTTTGTTTGTTTGTTTGTTGTTTAACTCCGCACTCAGCAATATTCCAGCTATATGACGGCGGTCTGTACATAATCGAGTCTGGACCATACAATCCAATGATTGACATCATGAGCATCGATCCACGCTATTGGGATCAATGACATGCATCAACCAAGTCAGCGAGCCTGACCACCCGATCCCGTTAGTCGCCTCTTACGACAAGCATAGTCACCTTTCACGGCATGCATGAGTTGTTGGAGACCTATTCTACCCCGGAATATTCACGGGTCGTTTTTACAAGTAACGGTAATTTGGCAGTATTTCTGTATTTCCTTACGTATGACAAATTTATTTTTTTAGATATATTTTGTTCAAACATTACTTAATACTCACCTTAAATATGATCGATTACCTCGCGGAATTAATTACTTCTAATTACTATCAGTATCAACGCTTAATGACTCAACGTCACGTCATAAATGCGTCAAAGATATTTGAGGTATAAAAAGTCAAGATATACTGGTATTGGAAATTACACCGTGCCCCAGGGACAGCCACTTACCTGATTGGATTCTCATTAGCCTCGTATAAGTGACCCACCTGAGGGGGAAGAGGAAGACTGTACTTGCTGACCCTACATCTGATCCTAGGGTTTTTTACGTCACCCAGAGACCATATACCGGTATATGGTCTCTGCGTCATCCAGGAAGTGAAAAGTGTAATTTATAGATATTCGATCCAATATCATAATCTGATTAATTATATGGTATGTTCAGTTTGTGGAACGACGAAACTATTCATGTTTAAGATGCATCGGATCATTTATCTGAATCGATCGATGAAGACTGATATATTTTGAAAGTAGCTTAATTAAATCTATTTTGTATCCTGAAGGAACTGAAAAAATACGATATTGTTATTCATAAATGTTTCATTTGTTTGTTTGTTGTTTAACGCCGCACTCAGCAATATTCCAGCTTTTTGACGGCGGTCTGTAAGTAATCGAGTCTGAAACAGACAATCCAGTGATTGACATCATGAACTTCTATCGACGATGACATGCATCAACCAGGTCTGCGAGCCTGACCACCCGATCACGTTAGTCGCCTCTCACGACAAGCATAGTCGCCTTTTACGGCAAGCATGGGTTGCTGAAGACCTATTCTACCCCGGATCTTTACGGGTCTCATAAATGTTTTAGGTTTACTTTTTTGTTTTATTTTCACTTTTTGTACTTCCGATTGATTTTTGAAATGGTTAAAATCTGCATTATTAACAGATATTTCCCAATATTGCTTTAATATATTTTTTATTAGGAAAACATACTCGAAAGTTTAAAACGTGCTTTTCTTGGAACAAAGTTGTGTTTTTTGCTTGCCTGATCATGAATGAAATCGTACGAACAATCATAATTTCATTGTTGACAAACATAAATCCTATGTTTATTTATTGCTGTCTCTGAATCGAACTGAAACCAAGATATTCCGACAACGTGCAGATTTTATAAAATGTAATAATTGTTCTCAAGATTGATGGGGTTTGGGGCCGGGGAACAGCTTGTCTTTATTTACCCATCGATTGTGAAGTTATACGCATACACACATGTCGTTGATGGGAAATGCACTGTATATATTAAAAGGGCATGGGAACCCTCAATTCTGTCCTCAGTGGGGATTCAGGCAAAGAATAGATCCCCTTCAACCTATGGGGTCGTAAGAGGCGACAAAATAGCTTAAGCGATCAGTCAACAATTAAGGTCAATTTTTGTGCGTCAGCGCATTCAGACAGTGCGGGGAGTGCATATATAAATAACTCTGGTTTGTCAGGTCACTGTTGAATTCCCAGCCCTCAGAAATAATACAAAGAAATCGGAATATGTTTTTCTGGGCCAAGGACTCAAGGTTATGAGGTACAGTTTTATGTTTTTTGCAAATACAAAAATGATGAGACTGACATAACATCGTTTTGATATCATACTCGGTTTTTTTTCAGGGAATGAATGGGGACATAATTCTGATGGCCGCATGTGCCGGGGCTGTGGCCCTCAGTTTGAAATGTACAACTGTGCTGATGTCGCAATCTGGCCAGGAGATGGGCAGCTGGGGGTAGGGACAGCCACACTAGTGGGTGGAGACACGACAAAGTCAGCTTCTGGGGACAGCGGACCTGGACTAGAGAACCCTGTCCCAACTGAAACTGTTCCCTCAGGAAATAGAAACGATGAAAGAGTAGAAGGTTCTGGCGGACAAGGTGGTCCTCCGAGCTCCATCTATCCTCATCCTACTGAAACAGGTATCGTAGCTCCATCTGGTCCACATGGTCCACCTGATAATGGTCCCCAAGGACTATCTAACAATGGTCCACATGGCGGATCAACAACTGGTATATCAGACCCACAGGATCCAACCAAAGTCTTGATATTCCCAAGGTTTGAGGTCACACCCAATGACAACAGTGATCAAACGAACTATGTGTCTCCGACATCTGAAGCTGGACCCTCTGGTGCCCAACCTGCCGTTCCCACAGTTCCATCACATGGTACTGACATGGACAGAGGAATATTAAAATCAGGAAATTTGTTCAATGATGCTAATGTAAAGTTCGACCAAACAGTTAATGACCACGGTGGCCATGGAAACGGCATTTCTGTATCTTCGCCAGCAGATGAAAACTCCGGATTCAATAACCCCAGCCCAACATTTCTTCCAGATGGTACCAATATTCAAGCCACACCAAAACCAGACGAATCTCTGGATCCGATTCCTGATCAGATTTTTGATGACTTAACACCAACTAAAACTCCTTCTGTACAAACGACCCATGACAACCTGCCAGCGGAAGGCTCAGTGGTTAACAACCTGAAGTCGGAACTACCAACTCCAAGCGAAAAACTAGATGTCAACAACGAACACATGACAGATCCTGCGATTGTAAACGAAACACCAGTGGAATCTACCTCACCTCAGGATGATCTCAACCACACGGGAACACCACAACAGGGCTCTGAAGGAACTGTCGGGAACACAGACAATGGTGGTATAGAGCCGTTGATCCCAACATTAGGAGCAAAGCCGTTCAGCCATGTCAATGATGAGCACCATGTATCATCTATTGAAAATAATGCTGATAGTGTGGGATCGTCCTCAGTTGGTGACAAGGGATCTAGTAACAGTGCTAGTAGTAACAGTGTTGAAGGCCCGGCAAAGGGGTCGGTGAAGAGCAGTACTAAGTCTTCTGTATCGGGTGGTTGGGGATTAGGAACTGGATGGACTATGGGCGATCTTAGTCAATTGCAAATAGCACCAATGTTGCTTCTGGCCAACAAAATATGGGGAGGCCATGGGGTGATGAGTATGGGGCCTTCTTTGGGAGGCTGGGGTGGGATGAAGAAGCAAAAGTGGGGAGGGAGCCTGTGGGGTGGCAATACAGGGGCGTGGCCAGGGAGTATCTGGGGTAAAACGCACGGTCTATTTGGTGCTGGGGGAAGTCCTTGGGGTGGTGCTGGAAACGCATGGGGTGGAGCTAATACCTTCACTGGGAATACCATGGGTAATTCGTGGACCGGAGCAGGAATCACCTGGCCACAGAACCATAATTCCTGGCTTTCGGGAAGCTCGAATAACCAGTGGGGTAATAAGCTTAACTCTTGGAACAGCCAGCCATCAGTCTCCTGGCAGGCCGGACAGAGGCGTCCTCTAGCAGCTCATTTACCGTTATGCGAGGCAAATCAACGGCTCCTGTGCGAGGGACTTGGAGCATTGGCCAATAACCAGGGCGCTAAGCAGTACTGTAACCGAAACTGTCCCACCGGTGCGGAGTGCCCGAGTAACGTTTGTACCTGTCAGTGTGCATATCAGTATAGCCTTCAGTGCAGGTATATGACATCTGGCATTGCATTGCAAAGCAACCATGACTGGTGTAACAATGTCTGCAACAGTGGAAATTGCCCTGTACGTTACTGCGATTGTAAGACGCTGTCAAACTGGTGAAACGTTTTTGTAATGCATTTTCTTGGTGTTGAAACCATTGTATATGTACATTCTACATGTTAGCACCTTAATTATAGCTTTTTGCTCATCAACCAAATGTTGAAGTGTGTTCTGTTTACGAGCTCTGTGTTATGTTCACCGTTGAACATTCAACAAACGCCATGCATAATGCATGTCGACGCTATTTATTGGTATTTATTTCAACATATTTATTTGTAGAAAAGACGTCAGTTGCCAAAATGTTTCCGCCTGCAATAATTTATCAACTAAGAGTTCATCCTATCTAATGATTGTTCCTTGATCACGATGTTCCTTAATCTTCTCCCTTGACCATCATGCTACTCAATCATATCCTAAGATTATGTTCCTTGATCATGTTCCTTGATCAATGTGTCTTAATCTTCATGTTCCTTGACCACCATGCTACTCAATCATATCCTAAGATTATGTTCCTTGAATATGTTTCTTGATCAACGTGTCTTAATCATCATGTTCCTTGACCATGTTCCTTGATCATCATATTCCTTGATCATGCCCCTGATCATTGTGTCCCTTGATAATCATGGTCCTTGATCATCACATCCCTTGGTCATGATTCTTCTTAATCATGATGTTCCATAATCATGTTCCTTGATCACGGTGTTCCTTAATCCTCACGTTCCTTGATCATGTTCCTTGATCATCATGATCCTTGATCATCACGTTCCTTGATCATCATCTTCCTTGATCATCACGTTCCTTGATCATGGTCCTTGATCATCACGTTCCTTGATCATGTTCCTTGATCATCACGTTCCTTGATCATCACGTTCTTTTATCATCATGTTCCTTGATCATGTTCCTTGATCACCACGTTCCTTGATCATGTCCCTTGATCATCATGATCCTGGATCATCACGTTCCTCGATCATGTTCCTTGATCATCACGTTCCTTGATCATGTATCTTGATCATCACGTTCCTTGATCATGTTCCTTGATCATCACGTTCCTTGATCATGTTCCTTGATCATCACGTTCCTTGATCATGTTCCTTGATCATCACGTTCCTTGATCATGTTCCTTAATCATCATGTTCCTTGATCATGATGTTTAAATAGGTACCGCTATGTGTTAATCTGTGATAAACGTATGTCAATGTTATTGTGAGTGTGCAACGCTCATTAAATGTACCAATGATTCTTGTTATTGCGCCACTATTAATCTATCTCACACTCTATATACTAGATATTGTAATGTGCAGATACACATATCTCTTACATGTGTTTCTAACCGTATAGCTACTATTTTTAAGAGATTTTAAATTTATGCAATTTGTTGAAGTAAGTACAATACTTTTGTCATACTTTCTATTCTGTTGTATATTTATTGAGTGTTTAACAATGGGTTACACGACGTAATAAAGATAATGTCAGTGAAAGACTTTTCCTTGCTTTGTGGTTGCATTGGTTAGCCAAGACGTCAGTGTGTGAGATAACCATTGAGAAAGTATGCGTTCGATTCCCGTTCGATGTTCGTTCGATCGGGCGACCAGGCTCTGTGACTAGGTTCATTACCAAAGTTATACTGTCATGAAACGACGTGATTATTGCTCTCCGAAGCTAGTTCACTTCAGGATGGTAGAACTGTAGGATACTGTGTTAGTGTCATATTTCAACTGAAACGTCGAAACTGATTTTTTAAAACATTATTGCCGCAATGATAGACCCTACTGCAAGAATGCTTTCCTTCGTTTATATCTGGATACCATGAAATCCTACAAGGAACACTGTCAAGTTGTCATTGTAACGCCTTTTTACACATTTTAATGAGAGCGACAATCTGACAACGCAACACATTTTTTTTTATCCTTCAAAAATGTGCTGTCGCATTGTCGCCCTTGGTTAAAAAGCAAAAGAAATATTCAAGGGGAGACAATGCGATAACGGCACGTTGTCGCTTTGTCGCGCTTTTTAGCCAGGACTTGCAAGGGCGACAACGCGACAATTTCAGAACGGCACAATGTCCCTTATAGGAATCAATAGCATACCAGACATATTGAATTGTTACTGTCCAAATTTGCATATTTTCGTTTAATTTTCTATCAACAAATGCGAAGTATTTCAATCAGTATGAAATAATAAATTCAACTGTGGTAACCTAGAGAATTATTTTCTATATGAGATAAGCATCCAGATTCACAAGTAGTTATTACATTGTTCCGGTTCCGGGGCGGTCGGGTAGCCTAGTGGTTAAAGCGTTGGCTTGTCACGCCGAAGACCCGGGTTCGATTCCCGACATGGGTACAATGTGTGAAGCCCATTTCTGTTGTCCCCGCTGTGATATTGCTGGAATATTGCTAAAAGCGGTGTAAAACCATACTCACTCACTCACTGTTCCGGTTCCGGTTTCGTTTAATTGCAATTCCGTAATCCACAGACATTAATTAATAACTCACTACGTCAATATTAATTTTTAATATTTAATTTTCCTGCTTGCCTCTGGTCCAGCGATCTGCATGCTATTCACATCCTAGTGTACCAGAATGTGCAAGTATTTTCCACCAAAGTGTGCTCAGTTTATAATAGTTATATATATCATAATATCTTGTTATATCGAGATTGGGACAAATTTCCATAGAGTGATTATATTATTTTCCAGTGACTCGCTCGCTCCCTCCCTCCATTGAAACCATCCGTTTTACCCTATACTTATTCCACTCAAATGTCAAAACTGTATACAGTAAACTACGTTTATGACGAACACGCTTATAACGAACTGGCGGATATAACGAACTCTTTTGGTCTCGTCCATTTGCTGTAAATACTGTATATGTATGCTTATAACGAACTACGGTTATAACGAACAAACATTAGTGGTCCCTTCTAGTTCGTTATAACCGTAGTTTACTATATTTCCCTGGACTCGCTTGCGCTAGGACGAAATAAATAAATATAATACCACAAGAGGCGCGCGAATCGCATTTCGACTTGTCCTGTAATGACACGAATGAGAACCTATCAGTCTTTTTATACACAATTTGTATTTCAGAGTCAATCAGTGTGGCGTTTGCGGTGATCCCTCTGACGGGAAACGTCAAAACGAGGCTGGCGGGAAGTTCGCGAAAGAAGTCATCATAACCCGACATTATCCGAGCGAAAGTACCGTTAACGTGCCAGCTAAATGTGGGAGGGAAGCCCGTAAGGCTGATCTTAGACGACCAAGGATCATAATCGGGGCGAATGTGGGATCCAGAACGTTTACTCTTCTCAATATTATTTTAGAGACGTTCTTCAACCAATTCAGATAAATTCCAAAAGCAAAGCCAATTTTACGATTCCGACTTTGAATGTTTTTGAATCACTTTCAAAAGTGATGATACCAGGAAAAAAGGTGAGCTATCCAGCCTCACAGGTGGCAACCGTCACAAACACATGCAAAGGCAAGTCAATTGTCTACCTCATTTGTTTGTTGTTTTGGCGCCACGCTCGACAATATTCCACCTGTCCCCCTTAGAAAACTTGGGAACATATGGTACAAGAAGGGCATTGCACCAGACAAAACCTTTGTCTCTGATGCTTAATATTTGGAAGTGCCCAATCGTTTTGAAGGCTTTGTTAAGGCCTTGAATGTTGTAACTCTGAGCCACTTTTGAGCATGAGCGGAATGACGCTCTTCAAAATCCTGGTAGAAAGAACATGCTCGATGGTACCTCAACATTTGTGAAATGTGGACACCAAAGCCTGGAGCTGTCAGAAGTTTGCTCGACATAAAGGGAAAGTTGACTATTGAAAAGTTGAATTCATACCTCTGTTTTTTGTTGTTGTTGTTGTTGTTGTTGTTGTTGTTGTTGTGTGATTTAAACATATTTATTCACAAGAAGTGAACGGGATTGAGGGACCAGTTTTTCCAACTTAGAATGCCCTCTCCCTGGTATTTACAAAAATTTCACAATTTCAAATTCAGTCAATATGCATACAACACTATAGCGGAGACATAAGACGAGAGAGTGGATGGAAAGTGTTTCGTCACTCTGAATCTTTATGTAAACTAAGTGAGTGAGTATGGTTTTACGCCGCTTTTAGCAATATTCCAGCAATATCACAGCGGGGACACCAGAAATGGGCTTCACACATTGTACCCATGTCGGGAATCGAACCCGGGTCTTCGGTGTGACGAGCGAACGCTTTAACCACTAGGCTACCCGACCGCCCCGATCTAACTAAGAAACAGATTGGGCGGTTTCACTGATCTCTATTATTTCCAGCTCAGGTGGGATATTCAGTGGAAGGGAAATGGCTATTTGATTGAATCACCATCGAATATCACATCATCGATATACCTTAGTTTACCTATTCAGACTTTGGTTGGTTGGTTTATTGTTTAACGCCGCCGCAGCAATATTCCAGCTATATGACGGCGGTCTGTCAATTATCGAGTCTGGACCAGACAATCCAATGATTGACATCATGAGCATCGATCCACGCATTTGGGATCGATGACATGTATCAACCAAGTCAGCGAGCCTGACCACCCGATCCCGTTAATCGCCTTTTACGACAAGCATTGTCACCTTTTACGGCAAAAATGGGTTGCTGAAGACCTATTCATAGACAAAACTGGAGTAGAACTAGAATTTTCAAAATTGACAATTTTTTATTGGTATATCAACAAAAATGAAATGGTGTATCAAATATATTATCACTGTAACAAAGCAAAGCATATTAAAAAAAAACACATTTCCCACTCAATACTAAATTTCCCACACATCAAAAAAGAAATAACCGATTCATATTACATCGATAGAAATATATCATATTCACAATGTAAATACACACAGTTCATGACATTTTGATCTCTCTGTCACTACCTACATGTATTCGTGTAAACCCACGAACTTGCACAATCCATCAATATGACACTGGAATAGTTTTAGTTTATTATCATCTATAGATATACTTTGAAACTTGAATGTGTTTAAGATTGCATGTGAACCATATTCTGTAAACTTATTGTTTGTGTACTCCAAAATGAAATAAAATCATAAAAAAATTATATTCATGACTGTATTAACATAGGGTTCTACAGACTTCTGTAAGTACGGGGCTTACTGCCGTTAACTTGACAGCAGTCATTCCACAGACCTGTTAACCAATCAGTATTTCCATATTCCAAGATTTGCGGAAGTGTACAGACCATCTACAAGTGAGTGAGTGAGTGAGTGAGTGAGTGAGTGAGTGAGTGAGTGAGTGAGTGAGTGAGTGAGTGAGTGAGTGAGTGAGTGAGTGAGTGAGTGAGTGAGTGAGTGAGTGAGTGAGTGAGTGAGTGAGTGAGTGAGTGAGTGAGTGAATATTTAACGTCACACCGGCAGTATTTCAGCCATATCATGACGAATCTACAAATAAAGCATAGAGATCTGTTTACATCGGCAGAGTGGAGCCCTCGCGAAAACCGTAACATTTCGATTCTCTGTTTAGTTAAAGAAAACAACTAGCCCATCTCTCCCCTGACAGCTAAATTGGGAGTTTTTTTACAAACACAGAGAAAGTATCACGCAGCTCTATTTTAAACAGTTATTGCAACTAAACTGTCTCGTTCCCCAAATAGCAGAGCCATAAGATAAGATTATAAGCCATACCACCGGCTAATCTAGACTTGCATATCAGTGCTCTACTGTCAGATTTCGCTATTTCTGATGCAGTAGAGTTCAAGCCAAGATGTTATTGCAACCAAATACCTTAATATTTATAAGGATGAATAATTTCAATTTGATCACAACCAAATGTGAAATTAAACCCATATCTTGTAACAGACTGGGGTCGGTCGTGTACAATGCTAGTTTTCTTAATATTTATTAAGAGTCGCCTCTGCGTGGACCAACGAGTGAATCAATCCAACTTGCGCTGCAAAAATTCACATTGGGCGCAATGAGCGCGACTTCGTCTGCATACAATAACATACCCAACATGGAGTTGTCCAGCTCAATTCCAGAATGTAAGCTAGTGATTTCATCAGCCAAGTCATTAATATATACTGAAAAAAGTGTTGGTGACAGCACTGTTACAACCCTTCATGTAAAAATTACTCTTAATGTAAAAAAATATAATATTAAGGGTTGCTGGTTAGGTCTTGTTACAACCGTTAATGTAAAAAATACTCTTTATGAAAAATTATTTTACATTAAGGGTTGCGGGTTCACCCTTGTTACAACCCTTAATGTAAAAATTACTCTTAATGTAAAAGAAGTTTACATTAAGGGTTGAAGTGATAGATAATATTTTTTTTACGTTAAGGGTTATAACTATAAATTTATATTTATCGAACTTCAAAGGTTTTATTGGTATCAATGTTACAGGCATAAGTAGACTGTCTCGACATCTTCATATTGTTTATAACTGAATATAAATTTTATGTTATCCTTACAATCCTTGGGTAAACAGGTAATGACACCTCTATTCATTGTTAGACTTTAAGTGTTATTTCTAAATGTTTCTGTAATATATCTGTATACCCATATTCAAAGATCTTTCCAGAAAAATTTGAAAAACTCTACAGGGAATCCATCGATACCCGGGCTTTTGTTATTTGTTATAAGATTTTACGGCCTTTGTTATTTCATTTATGTTAATTATATCTTCTAAATAATCAAACTGTGATTTACTAAGTTTTGGTGTGTTAAGTTTGTGTAATAAATTTTTGGTTTCATTAGTTATTTCTCCACTTGAGGAGTATAGTTTCTCATAAAATATCTTTGTTCAGTTAAGATGGATTGTCCATCGGTTATTAACTCCCCTTTTTCATTTATAATACTGTTAATTAGTTTACTGGTATAATTATATAATAATCATATTTGTATTCCCCTTGATTCTCCTTCTTTTAATTTTTCAAAAAGTACTTTATAATTAGACAGGTCTGACAGCTTTGATTCACTTATATTCTGAAAATTTCCCCTAAGTTTTTACTTTCTTCATTTTTGGTTTTCTTTTAATACGTGGAAAAAGATATTGATTTGCCTCTCACTTTCATCAAAAATGTTTCTAAAAAAAGAGTATCACTGATTTCTAATTTTAAGTTTAGATCTTTAGTTTTTCTTGCTTCATCTTTGGAACATTCACTGCTTGAATATTCTAGCTTTGTTTCTTCTAGTGTATCTTTCACTATTTGGATATATTCATTGTTAAACAGTAAAGATGTATTCAGCTTCCATAAGCCCCTACCTCTTTCTTTGCTAAGTGTATTTGAAAAAGTTATTGCTGAGTGATCAGATTTGTATCCTGGTATAATTGTAGAGTCAATAGTTATATTTGCAATGTCTTGTGAGACCAAAACGAAGTCAAGTCTAGCTTGTTGTTTAGGCTTCTTCTTCCACCATGTGGATTTCTTTGCATTTAGATTTTTCTCTCTCCAAATATCAATTAGATCAAAGCTTCTTTTTTTTTCAAGAACTAACTTTCTTGCTTTGGGATTGTTGATATGTTTATAATTTTCCAAATCGACATCTGGATTTAGAACCAAGTTCCAATCTCCGCATATAACCACTGATTCGTTTTCAAATTCGTCAATATTATTGAACAAAGTATTGTAAAAAGCAGGTTCATCTTGATTTGGCCCATAAATATTAGTCAGAGTTAACCTTATGCCCTCTATGGTGATATCTGCTATTATGTAGTTTCCATTAATATCTTTGTTTAAATCTATGGATTTTTAGTTCTAAAGTATTACAAAACAAAATGGCAACTCCTCTTGCATTTGACTTGTAAGGCGCTATTATACTTTGAAGTCCCCATTCATATCTCATTAATGTTTCGTCTTCTTTAGAAATATGAATGTCCTGTAAACATATCATGGAAAATTTCTTCTTTCGCCATAGGTTCATTACTTCTTTACGTTTCCTTTTATCTGCTAGGCCCCTGCAGTTTGCTGATACTATTCTTATTTTGTCATCCATATTCAGTGTTTTCCAAACTAAACAGATTCATATTGTTGTCAAGGTTGTTTTATATACATCATACACTGGTTCATCACCTACTGAATTGAATGTTTTTAAACTTTGTGGGAAAAACAGATTGTATGAAAACACACAATGATAATAAAAACAAAATAGAAAGGGTAGCGTTTCCACAAGCTATATCCACCATGGGTATTATAAATCAAACAGTATTACCATGGCCAGAATTGGGTGTGTCATAAGCCATAAACTGACCTGTCTTCAAATTAGGCCAAGGAAGGGAGGTATCTCACGAGTGAACATGCTGATGTGAGAGAATAACACGTCAACACAAGAATATGTTTCTAATGGCATTATAAATCATACGTAGTTCTCAGATAGTATCTTAAGTCGAAGAATTATCGAAACCTATTTGACAAAACACCAATACAGGTAGTAACATACCGCTACTCACTTGTAGGCATAAACGTAAAACGTAACTTTGCATTAAATCTCATTCAATGTCACAGGAACTTTTGTTGTTCAGTATATTAAGTCGGGTATTGCGTATATCTGAATAAATCTTAAATGGTACTGAAAGGCGATAACCAAGAGGATCACGAGGATCAGTATCTGCCTTTGGATTGATAAATTAAATACTAGTGCGCCAAATATCGAACAGTGGGATGACAATCTAAACAGAATTTCAGTACAGCTCGCATTCTTTAGGGACTCCGCTGGAAGTAGGTTAAGTCCTACAGCCTTCCCACGTTTAGAACGTGCAATCGCACATTCAACCTCAGCCCTGGCAATGGGATGATCTAGGCCAGCTGTATCTGAAGTCAAATCTGGTAACTCATACCGAGTTCCTTGATCAAACAATTAATGTACTGATGCTTACATAGAATGATGATGTTGTTTGAGACCTTGTCAGTGGGAACAAACGTTTCATGTTTTACGCCGCACTCAGCAACATTCCAGCTAAATGACGGCGGTCTGTAAATAATCAAGTCTGGGACAGACAATCCTGTGATTGACGTTATGAGCATCGGTACCTCACATTGCAGTCTATAGGTGATCGTTCCCAGGCACTCCGGTTATCCAGAGGAGTTGGTGTACCTCCAAGGAAATAAATCCTTCGGATATTTCTCATATCCAAACAGTTTAAAATCAATATCATAATATTTAGCAATTTGTTCCATGGTATCTCTTGTAAGTGATTTGAATGCTTTTAGCATCCATCTGAGCTTTAGTGTAGAATGGAGCTCATGTGATATGTGAGCATTTTCATTGACTCTAACGAATTCCTTTGTCACGCGCTTCTTCGCGTCTTTCGTTGACAAACTGCCTTCAAGAATACGCTTGAATGTTGCTTTCGGGAACTTCATATCTGGTTTTAAGTGGCCATTTATTTGAAATGTGGTCCATATTTTTTCAGTTAAGGAAATGTCGTCAAAACATCTCCTCAAAGATGTCATTCGGTCACGAAAGGAGAACGTGAAATCCACCATTTGAGCAATTTCATCCGAAATGTACTTCTTATGTGAGTATTTCTCCAGAATATGTCCCAGACCAACCTCCCGTAGGATGTATTTTGCATCTTTGTTGAAACTTTCTTGTTTTCCAATAAAATGAGGGAACAGTTTGCATGGGTTGCAGGATGAATACATAGGCTTCCAATGATAGTTGCCAATCGGGTCCCCAATGACGAGATGTTGAACAAAGTCTTTGAAACTGAGATCATTAACACATGTGGTATTAGGGTTGGGGATAGTTTGGCCTTTGAACTTCGCTATTCTTAATCCATAATTTTCCAAGCTTAGAAACTGCGGAAGCACAAATTTATCTACATAGGCAGAAAACAGTCTTGTGTAGGGATTTCTGACAAAGAAGAAGCGTTTTGAATGTTCGATGATGTTTTGATTTATTTTAATCTCCTTGATATGAACCAGAGGAAGAAAATGTACTTGGTACCGTGTTATATCAAGAGGACTTGACACTTCCCGAGACCCATTAGTTCTGAGAAGGAATTGAAAAACTCTGCCCCAAAATGTACATCCAACTTTCGGCACTGAACAGTAACTGACGTCAATGTCGTTTGTCTCATAGTGAATGAAGCGGTTCCTTGATGTGATTGGTTGTTCCATTTGAGCGCATGCGATACGAAATGTGTTCAACCTGGCCTCGTATACTTCCAGATCTTCATTTGGGACCAAAGACTCCCGCGCGGGTTGTTCGTGAACCTTACAAAAGAAAAAGACGAACATGATAATACTTGTGTTTGTTTGTTGTTTAACGCCGCACTCAGCAATATTCCAGCTATATGACGGCGGTCTGTAAATAATCTGTCTGGACTAGACAATCCAGTGATTGACATGATTTGAACGGAACTAAGTCAGTGGGCCTGACCACCTTTTCCCGTTAATCGCCTCTTACCACAAGCATGGGTTGCTGAAAATCAATTCCAACCCAGATCTTTACAGTGAGTGAGTGTGTGTGAGTTGGGTTTAACGCCGCTTTTAACAGTATTACAGTTATATCACGGCGTGTCAGCTTAATGTGGGAGGGAAAGCTTAATGTGATGCAGGCCACAGACGTTTACTACTTCGGTGAAACCCACAATCATAGGTTTCTGGCGTGCCCAAGGGACGCAACTCTGCACAGCGAATCGCGGCGCCTTAGACGACTGGGCCACCCGTGCCCCCCAGGTCAATACATGTACAAAATAACACTAAATCGAGGAAGCGAGTCAGTCTGAATTCAATTATATGACGTAATGTCAGCTTAGACGTTTATGCGAAGAGTTGCGTCCCTTAGGTTTCCAGAATCCAGTGATTGTGGGTTTAAATTCCAGTTTGCCTTGACTTTCGGCCTGGTCAAAATCAGGGGTCATATTTTTGCACTTTTGTTTTTGTTGCACTTTTGTTGAAAACTCAAGTGCAATTAAAGTGCTTAGTGGTGTAAGAAAATAAAAGGTCTATAGTAGCAATTTTATGCCTGAAAATGTGGGTTTTTTCATACGGTTTTGTCTCAAACACATCCCACGGGCTGCAAAATGCAATATAACATTGAAGTTTATTCAACAAAACAGTGAGGACAGGTGTGTGTTTTATTTGAATGGACACAATAGGACTACTGCAAAGTAAACCGCCTTATTCATGTCTCAGAAAACAGACGAAACATGATTGAAAATGACGTATATAAATTGAAAGTATCAGTTTCTCTTCTGAAAAAAATGGTAATCAATATGAACTAACTTTTATAAAATCCTTTCAAAAACTTCTAAGTAGTACATGACAAAGTTGTAAAAACAAGTGCAAAGATAAATATCGAGGCAACTGACTCACTTGCCCTGCCATAGGGTTACGGACACTACATTTTGCAAAATGACTAATTAGTGAACAGACAAACTGTAACAAGATAAAAACTAATGTTAAATGACAAATACCGTATTCGACGTACTAAGCGCCTAGGGCGCTTTAAAATTAGAAATAGGGGGCTCTTATTGGAATATTATTTTAGTGAAAAAAATAGAGTTGAAAGATAAATATCGTGACATATGAAATATGCTGACAGCCTGAAATGTTTATGTTCGACAGACATATTTTTCCAGAATTTAATTGCTCATAATTAAGTATGCATATAACACATGAGTGCGTATTATACGCGAATAAATAAGTATTGTGTACATTGATTAATCGGAAGGGGTGCTAATTGGGATTGTTCACTGGCCAATATATGAGCAAATATCGCCGTGGATGTTTATTAGAGCGGGGCGCTTATTAGAGCGGGGCGCTTATTACGTCGAATACGGTAGATAACTTTTATCTTCGGAAACTGCTCAATAAAAAGCAATATCTAAATGTCTATGAATCAGTGGCTACGGACACTACGTGTGGTAAAATGTCCCAAACATTCAAAACCAGTTGAAGAGAGTAAAGGAAAGAGTCCGATTAGTGTAGGCTTACATACATGAAATATTTCCTTTGGTTAAGTTACTAACTGAACTGTTCAGTCCAAATACGAGATATTAAAATAGGGGCTACAGACACTACAGGGCTGCGGACATTTATTTTCCTATCTCTCAGTTGTCTATGCAAGGTTGGGAAGTGGGGTAGCCTGGCGGTTAAAGCGTTCGCTCGTCACGCCGAAGACCCGGGTTCGATTCCCCACATGGGTACAATGTAAGAAGCCCATTTGTGGTGTCCCCCCGCCGTAATATTGCTGGAATTTTGCTTAAAGCGGCGTAAAACCATACTCACTCACTCACTCACTATGCAAGGTAATTCAAACAACTTCACAAGGGATAAGTAGCTTGGGATAACCTGTGAAATAAACTACAAGACAGTCGGCTATTGCTTGGTACTTAACTAGACATAGGATTAGGGACACTGCAAAACATATGCAAAAAACAATAGCAGTGTTTGACTCTCAATTGCCTACATAACCACGATCATACCTGATAATCATGCCATTTTTCACGAAGTTGGTATTCCGAATGTTGGAAAAAACAACAAAAACAGCCATACTTAAACACAATCTATTGACACATGAGAAGGACAAAATTGCCTACATAGCCACGATCATACCTGATAACCATGCCATTTTTCACGAAGTTGGTATTCCGAATGTTGGAAAAAACAACAAAAACAGCCATACTTAAACACAATCTATTGACACATGAGAAGGACAAAATTGCCTACATAACCACGATCATACCTGATAATCATGCCATTTTTCACGAAGTTGGTATTCCGAATGTTGGAAAAAACAACAAAAACAGCCATACTTAAACACAATCTATTGACACATGAGAAGGACAAAATTGCCTACATAGCCACGATCATACCTGATAATCATGCCATTTTTCACGAAGTTGGTATTCCGAATGTTGGAAAAAACAACAAAAACAGCCATACTTAAACACAATCTATTGACACATGAGAAGGACAAAATTGCCTACATAGCCACGATCATACCTGATAATCATGCCATTTTTCACGAAGTTGGTATTCCGAATGTTGGAAAAAACAACAAAAACAGCCATACTTAAACACAATCTATTGACACATGAGAAGGACAAAATTGCCTACATAACCACGATCATACCTGATAATCATGCCATTTTTCACGAAGTTGGTATTCCGAATGTTGGAAAAAACAACAAAAACAGCCATACTTAAACACAATCTATTGACACATGAGAAGGACAAAATTGCCTACATAACCACGATCATACCTGATAATCATGCCATTTTTCACGAAGTTGGTATTCCGAATGTTGGAAAAAACAACAAAAACAGCCATACTTAAACACAATCTATTGACACATGAGAAGGACAGAATTGCCTACATAGCCACGATCATACCTGATAATCATGCCATTTTTCACGAAGTTGGTATTCCGAATGTTGGAAAAAACAACAAAAACAGCCATACTTAAACACAATCTATTGACACATGAGAAGGACAAAATTGCCTACATAGCCACGATCATACCTGATAATCATGCCATTTTTCACGAAGTTGGTATTCCGAATGTTGGAAAAAACAACAAAAACAGCCATACTTAAACACAATCTATTGACACATGAGAAGGACAAAATTGCCTACATAGCCACGATCATACCTGATAATCATGCCATTTTTCACAAAGTTGGTATTCCGAATGTTGGAAAAAACAACAAAAACAGCCATACTTAAACACAATCTATTGACACATGAGAAGGACAAAATTGCCTACATAGCCACGATCATACCTGATAATCATGCCATTTTTCACAAAGTTGGTATTCCGAATGTTGGAAAAAACAACAAAAACAGCCATACTTAAACACAATCTATTGACACATGAGAAGGACAAAATTGCCTACATAGCCACGATCATACCTGATAATCATGCCATTTTTCACGAAGTTGGTATTCCGAATGTTGGAAAAAACAACAAAAACAGCCATACTTAAACACAATCTATTGACACATGAGAAGGACAAAATTGCCTACATAGCCACGATCATACCTGATAATCATGCCATTTTTCACGAAGTTGGTATTCCGAATGTTGGAAAAAACAACAAAAACAGCCATACTTAAACACAATCTATTGACACATGAGAAGGACAAAATTGCCTACATAACCACGATCATACCCGATAATCATGCCATTTTTCACGAAGTTGGTATTCCGAATGTTGGAAAAAACAACAAAAACAGCAATACTTGAACACAGTCCATTGACACATGAGAAGGACAAAATTGCCTACATAACCACGATCATACCTGATAATCATGCCATTTTTCACGAAGTTGGTATTCCGAATGTTTGAAAAAACAACAAAAACAGCCACACAGTCTATTGACACATGAGAAGGACAAAACTGTAGGTAAACTTTCGGAAAATATAACAAACATACCTTTTTGTGAGGAAGCGTTAATTTGCCAAATTTTCAGAAACAATATTGAGATATACTTTGAATGGAAGAGAGATTGCTACTCTTTTGAACTAATGTAGAGACATATAATGCACTTTAAATCCTAACAATCGCCATTACTGTATAGTGTGGCGTTAAACAATAAACAAACAAACTTATTTATTGATAACGAAGTTTAAGGACTACTTATTCACCCTTCATCAGATGATGAGTGAGTGAGTGAGTTGGGTTTAACGCCGCTTTTAACGGTATTCCAGTTATATCGCGGCGTGTCAGCTTAATGTGGGAGGAAAGCCCGAAGTGATGCAGGTCTCAGACGTTTGCCACTTCGGTGAAACCCACGAGCACGGGTATGGTGCTGACAAACCTAGAAACATAATTGGGGCGAACCGGGATTCGAACCCACAATCATAGGTTTCTGGCGTGCCCAAGGGACGCAACTCTGCACAGCGAATCGCGGCGCCTTAGACGACTGGGCCAACTGTGCCCCCCATCAGATGATGAATACTTGACACGTCGTAACTAAGAATAAAGAAGTTGTTATCAAATAGAAAGAAGCATGTATTTACATTCATTGAACAATACTAACTTTGGTTAAAACCTGATGAAGAATTATGTTTTGTTCCCCGCATGTTTTCGTATTGAGCAATTTTTAAAAACTTAATTCGGACCCTCTCATATAGAATAGATGCTCGACTGCTAATGTGTTTCTTTTGCGAAAAGAGTCAATTGTTTTATTATGCGGGTATATTTAATTAAAAAAATAATCTCACCGCTCTTTTCAGTGTCGCTTTGGCGACGTGTTGCCTTCCGTATCTGTCTGAAAACAAATGAAAATGTATGAGGACATGTAGGGTCAGTAATTGGTGGGTGGATGGGTGTGCGAGCGAGCACGGGTATGGTGCTGACCATCTTCCCGAGGCAAGAGAGTTAACTGACTTTAAAAGTCCAGTTTCAACCCTTGCCGAACTAGGCTGGAATTACTGGGCTCGATCGTAGCCCCACCAGTGGCTATTACCAGTCACGTCCCTTCTAAGCCTCTCCTATGCACCAATCAGATTCCACCTCTCGTATCACTTGCGTTTGCTTCACACAAAATGGTGGCGCCCGGTCCGTTAAATCTGATGGACAATCAGGATCTATATTGTGATAAAACGGGTCTTACATCGCGAAATGCATCAAATCACGTGAGCACCTTGATTAAAAACATGAAAACATTTGGAAAATATCTTCTGACAACGAGTTGGCGGTGAACATGCTTTGCAAATCCTGCAATCGACCGAAATCTGTACGACAGTGTACGAACCGGATTTCGATTTCGGTGCGCGATTTTGATTGGACTATACATAGACTCGTTAGTCCAGCCAAAATGTAACTCCATAATACTAGCCTACTTCGGCAAGGGTGGAAACTGGACTTTTATATTCAGTTAACTCTCTTGCCTCGGGAAGATGGGTGCTGACAAACCTAGAAACATAATCGGAACAAACCGAGATTCGAACCCCCACTCATAGATTTCTGGCGTGCCCAAGGGACGCACCTCTGCTCGGGGAATTGCGGCGCCTTGGACGACTGGGCAACCCGTGCCCACGCAAGAGGCCACATGTCAAACGTCCATATGACAGAGCTGTTGCACTCAATTTTAACTATTATTTAAATTTGGTTCTATATAGCAGTGCGTGGAATATATACATGGCTAAGTTTTGCACCATTAATTTATCTAGACTATTCAACAATTGTCGGAATTTCACAATATTTCGATCATAAATTGATTTATGAATGAATACCTGATTTATGACAAGCTTGTATCGTGTGTCCTGTCTTGTGCACATCAACATGACAATTGCCCTAAATACCAGCGTTCTTGATGACAATGTGATTTTATTTATCACTTTAACACACATTTTGGGAAAAGAAAAACACCTTGTAACAATGTCATTTTTGTGGCAGGCAATTTCCTTTTCAAGACAAACTAATTTCTTTCGATAAAATTAAATCCCATCACCTGCCCCTGAAAAATATGCCCCTGCGACGTTTCATTTTACCTCACTCAGCCCCAGAGCCTTTCAGTACTCGTGGGCTAGATTGATTTTCCTTTCGTGAAAGGAAAATTGATTTCGTGAAGGACCCATGAAGATTCCGGGGTAGAGTAAGTCTTCAGCAACCCATGCTTGCCGTAAAAGGTGACTATGCTTGTCGTAAAAGGCGACTAACGGGATCGGGTGGTCAGGCTCGCGGACTTGGTTGATGCATGTCATCGATCCCAATTGCGTGGATCGAAGCTCATGATATTAATCAGTGGGTTGTCTGGTCCAGACTCGATTATTTGCAGACCGCCGTCATATAGCTGGAATATTGCTGAGTGCGGTGTTAAACAACAAACCAACAAACAAACCATAGAAGAAGTTCGTTTTGCAGTATTCAAAGCTAAAAAGAGCAAGGCAAGTAGTATATAGACAATATTCCGGTGGAGGTTCTTTGAAATGACACGTATATAAAGTACAGGTTACTGTGTGTGTTTTAATACTGGCTGTATACCAGGTACCTGGACTAAAGGAGTCGTCAATCCTATCCTGAAGACCTCAACAGACGATCGAAGAGACCCGCTATTATGGAGAGGACTTACTCTTTCTAGTTACAAGATATACTGTGGTATTTTAACTAACAGGTTATCCAAATATGTAGAGGACAATGGAATTTTAGAAGATAATAAAAATGGATTCAGGAAAGGTCGGTCAATAACGGAGCATATTGCAGCTATTACTTCTATAGTAGAAACACGTAAATCCCTCAAGAAATCTACATACGCAGCATTCATAGACTTTAGGAGAGCGTATGGCTATATTGACCGCCACAAGATGTGGACTAAACTACTGGAGGCCAAGTTAACATAAAAGGAAAATGTTTAATGCTATAACGTCACTCTACAAAAGTGTACAGTGTTGTGTGAGACTCAACGGGAAATCTACTTCATAGTATGACGTGAAATGCGTTACGTTTGTTCTGATTTTGAGTTTGAGTTTTTTTACAGAAATATACTGTCCAGCCCAGAATTGATTTTTACAACTGCCAAAACCTGCAAGAATATTTTAACAACCAGATCGGATGCTCTACACCATGTCGTACTATAGGTGAATAGCCTGGTAAAGTCCTTTTTATCGTATGTAATATATGTGCAAATGTATTCATTTTTTTTACCAATGTCATAGTCTCTCATAATTCCGTAGGATGTGGCTCGATACTTGATATGCTTTTTTACTAAGGTATTTTTAAGGAGTTTATGTCCTATTGTTAATGTAACGAGGTGGGGCTAAATTAAATAATCTGTCTGTCTGTCTGTAATAAAACGGGTCTTACGTCGCGAAGTGGGTCAAAATCACTTGAGCAGGTTGATTGAAAACTTAAAAGGATTTTGAAAATATCTGTCGAGGCCCAGTTGCCAGCACACATGCTTTGCAAATTCTGCAATCGTCCGAAATTGTGTTGTGCCAAAACATAACTCTAAAAAAAAAAAAGTACTCACGGAAATGAAAAAAACCTGTTTTTCTCAATTTAAAAATCGACACAAAGTGTTATGTAGCTGTAAATACAAAATAACAAAACAACTCGAAAAGTACTAGTCTGGATTTGCTAGTTTGATCTCAGTGAACAATACACAATGTACTTTACAGGAGGTAATTTGTCGGCACTTTCAACATTCAAAAATAAAACTAAGTCCAAATTGACATAGCAGAAACAGACTATAGGCATTATGCACCTGTTATCACCTGTCGTCAAGGTGTCATAGGTCACCTTGATCTACTTACACCTGGTTATGCCCTGTTTCACAATAGTCTGTTTTATTCACATTTTTACACACTTTTACGTGTAAAAAGACATAAAAACATTTGATACGCTGTATTTGTGCCACGGCCCAATTAGTACTAATTTAGTTGTTTGAATATTTACATATTTTGTATATTAACTGCATTTATTTAAGATATGAGGTCGAAAAAAAACAGTTTTTTTTTCATTTCCGTGAGTACTTTAGTAATTCAAGCCAAGATCGGCAAGGATGAAAATTGGACTCGGTGTGATGTCTACCCAATGCAAACTGACCTGACTGGTAGTTATGTGACTTTAAAAAAATGATAGGAAACTTATTCTGGGTGTTCACTGTGGCTGGTCAAACCCTTCGTATGATCCTTACGTCGCCAATATACTGTTTCCCTGTGACTGTGTGCTGCTTTGTTTACTGACATCCAGCATAAGTTTGTTTGTTTGTTGTTTAACGCCGCACTCAGCAATATTCCAGCTATATGACGGCTGTGCAAAGATTCGACCCGTGAAGATCCGGGGTAGAATAGGTCTTCAGCAACCCAGGCTTGTCGTAAGAGGCGACAAACGGGATCGGGTGGTCAGACTCGCTGACTTGGTTGATGCATGTCATCGTATCCAAAATGCGTGGATCGATGCTCATGATTTTAATCAGTGGATTGTCTGGTTCAGACTTGATTATTTACAGACCGCCGCCATATTGCCGGAATATTGCTGAGTGCTGCGTTAAACAACAAACAAACAAAACAAACAGAGTGAACATAGACGTTGTTCTCTGGGTACATTATTCCAGCGACCAGGCTCGACTGGTAAATTGTGGTTATTAATGCGGGATTTTAAGAGCTGGTTATAATCAGATTTAGGTAGATATAGGTTTCTTCACTGTCCAACACTGTCAGAATACCACTTTAAACACACACACACACACACACACACACACACACACACACACACACACACACACACACTGTGTGAAGCCCATTTCTGGTGTCTTCCCCCGTGATATTACCGGAATATTGCTAACAGGGGAGTAGAACAATACTCAGACACATATTTTAGAGGCTTAGGTAGTTGGTTTCTTGTGTAATGCCGCACTCAGCAATAGTCCAGCTGTATGACGGCGGTCTGTAAATAATCGAGTCTTGACCAGACAATCCACTGATTAACATCATGGGGATCGATCCACGCATAGGTGATTAGATAACCACTTTGATTTAATTGTTAATGTCTTGGTATTCCATCAAAATGGATATTTACACTGAATGTAGTTTCGGAAAGCCAAGGGGGGCACGGGTGGCCCAGTCGTCTAAGGCGCCGCGATTCGCTGTGCAGAGTTGCGTCCCTTGGGTACGCCAGAAACCTATGATTGTGGGTTCGAATCCCGGTTCGCCCCGATTATGTTTCTATGTTTCTTATGTTTCTGTGTTTTGTCAGCACCATACCCGTGCTCGTGGGTTTCACCGAAGTGGTAAACGTCTGAGACCTGCAGCACTTCGGGCTTTCCCAACCACATTAAGCTGACACGCCGTGATATAACTGGAATACTGTTAAAAGCGGCGTTAAACACAACTCACTCACTCACGGAAAGCCAAGACTTGTGGTGGCTCGAATGACCGCATGGCGGAGTCAAGGGAGCCGTTTCCTGTATGTACAGAAACGCACCTGTACATTTGAATCTGTCAACCAACATGGCCCTACAAGTAACAACATCAATTAGTATAACACAATTCTGTTCTCCGTATACACTGCGGTCTGAATGGTTGGAAGTCGTTTCGAGGCATGGCGGCCTTCGAAAGGGACGCGCCCAATCTCATTAAAATCAGATCTTAGTTCTCGCTATCGCTTAACTACGATCTGAGGACCTTTAATCCAAACAATCAAAGCGTCGCTTACCAGATCATGAAAGTGACAGTCGGAATGTGTTGTTTCATCATGCAACCTCGAAAACGTTAACGGGGGTATTCCAAACGACAGTTACGGAACGGTGTTGACGGTTCTATATAC